TTTTCCCTGCTCTTGTTTCCCTGCAGAAGCGGCACAGCAATTGCTTTCTGCCACCCTCTTTCTTTCCACCCTCGCCCCCGTTTCAGTGTGTTCAGGTCCATGGAATAAAGCTGAGCTATCATAGGGAGGTTTTTTTTCTTTGAATTTGCAGAGAAGGGCCCCCTAAAACCCGGGAGCCACCCCCAGCCCAGGGCAGACTGAAATGCAAGCTCTGCCCTTAAGGCAGGGGCCCTGCCCGGCTCTACCCCTGCCCCTCTGTGCGGGGAGCAGGAGGAACAGGCCGGGCAGGGAAGCAGAGTGCAGAGCTGCTCGTCCCGGGGCTTTGCAGCCTACGTTTTGTTTGTTGCACTGCTCCCGGGAGACTCTTTACTTACAGCATCTTCTCCTCCACCTTCAGTTGCGAGGAGGGTACATGAAGCAAGGAGAAGCTTTTGCTTCGTGGGGTGCCACAGCTGTTGCAGTTCTCCGAATCCTCATGGGAACAAGCAGCTTGAAGGAAAAGTAGCAGATTCAGAAAACAAGCTAGAAAGGGCAGCATGATCTAATTTAACACTATAGCCATGTTGATGATTAAAATGACGTGATGCTGTTTGGATTAACCCATTCACCGAGATGACAGGTTTGTTCTGCCAGCTCAGACACATGACAGGCTGGATCTCTGCCGTAGTGTTCAGTATTACGGTTGGGACTGATTTATTTTTAAACCTGGGGCTTAGCATGGACTGTGTATCTTGCTCATTAGACAGTGTATGTTAGGTGATAGTTATGATAATATTTTATAAAACAAAGAAAAACAATTTGCAGTTGGGCAATCGCCATGGCCAAAATTCACCATATCCTTCAGTCAATTATGAAATTCAACACACCGAACTATTACTCGGATGTTGCTCACAGAGAAAAAGCTTCTCTATTTAGGCAGCAAATTTTGAGCAGCAAATCAGATAAAATGCTGGCTTTTCCACATTAGTGCATTGCTCTCATTCAGTAAGTGAATTAACCTAGGATGGGGCATGTTAACGTGGAAAGCTGGCAAACATACAGGTGTCTCGCTAAGAGCTGCCGTGACAGCATCAGTTCTGCCAAACACGCGCAGCACGCAAAGGGGTTGGACTGTTTAGGTCTGTGGCATTTACCAACCGTGTACCCCAAGCAGCACAGTTACTGCAGTGTTTCTTAAGCAAGCCCCTGTTCCGGGTGTAGGATGCTAAGCGGGTGCAGGGAGGGCACACCTTTGCCATAAGGAAATGGCCCCGTTAACTTTCCAAATTGTGCTAAGAGCAATGCATCCACGTGAGTGGGAAGAGGCTGAATGGGTGCAGGTTTGTGCAAGAGTATTTTTAGGAAGATCAAAGCAAGAACAAAAACTAATTTCAAGATGGTGGGATGAGCGTGGGTACTTGGAGTCTCAGATCACCCGCGGTCCTTGTTACAGCGCTGCTGCATGGATCGCTGCTTCTCTGATGGCAGTTTCCTCCAGCCGCAGCAGCAGCAGCAGCAGCACCACGAACACAGGGAGAGCCGCCCTTGGTGAGCACCACGAGGACGATGAGCAGAGCAGCTCCCTCCACCGGGGTCCGGCCCCCAGGCAGGCAAAGGCGCTTTGCCAAAGGCCGCGTCAAGGGCAAACGCACTTAATTCCACCTCTCAGCTGCCACCTCTGCTCAGACGCTGCTGGACGTATTTAGTAACAAACCCTGGTCCTAGGAACGTGTCCATGCTGCCCTCGATGGGCACCCCGCGTTGCAGGAATTGCCCAGCTCCCCTGCCCCGTGTACAAAGGGAGGGGAGAGCAGCAGGCGACGAAGGGGCCCACGGGCCAGACTCATCCTGGGCTGCACAAAACAGGCAGTGATAAGGGGAGTGATGCCCTCCGGCCTCTCCCTCAGAGCACCGAACCTCCATCCTCCTCCCCTCGCCCTGAGGGCCGGCCCCACAGCCTCCCCTCAGAGCATCACCCCTTGGGCGCCCTTGCAAAGCGCCTTGAATCCGAGCGTCACAGACAGGTAACAGGATGAAGCCGAGTATTTCATAATGAAACCCCACTGTATCAAATACAAGCAGAACATTTTCTTTAAAATCCCAAGTAAACAGTCTGTATTCTAACACACAAAAGGTCTGTACCAATTAAATACAGTATGGCAGTATATAAATTACAGTTCTTTACAGTAAATAGCAAAATACTAGAGTCCGCTTACTGTACACAACAATCAAAGAACAAACAGCAGCTTTTCAGTAAGGTCCCAGGTATGTCACTCATTCACTTGCTAGGAAACACAGGACAGATACAGCAGGCCACTCACGTCACCCATTTTTACCATGTTACTTTACAAATATCCAGAACAACTTGTACAGGCATCTACAGTATCTACATGTGGAACAACCTTCTTAGGAATTCATGAGCACCATACACAAATCCCTCCATTATTCCCACTATTAAAATAAACTTTACAGATTTAAGATTACTTGAGCAGGTTCTATTTCACCTTGATAACAACCAGCAAGTAACAAGTGCAAAGTCTGCAGTCATGATCCATTCGCTGCTTCTTTGTCTCCCCATTTCCCCCCGACCAAAACCAGAGCGAACAAGCAAACCCAGCGCGAGCCCCTCGCCCCGCGGCGACGCCGGTTCTGCAGCCTGGGCACCGCGGGCGCCCGGGGCCGCTCCGCGCAGGGCCAGGGCAGCACAGTGGCGGCCTCTAGGAAGACAGAAAACACGAAGCAGTCGGATATTTCCGTGCGCTGAAACGCAGAACGTAAGGCGGCGTGGTGCCCAGTGACGGAAAGAAACTTGGCACCAGCTTTCAGTTAAAACATTTACAATAGAAAGATATAAACAGCAAATGTGACAGTCTAAAACAAGTTCTTTGGTAATTAAGAACAGCAAACCATAGTGTTATTTTTTTTTCTCCAAATATGGATTTACATCCTGTTTTTCCACAATAAAATATTTTCTTTGTTGTTTAAAATATATTTCCCAAATTGCCGTGTAACAAACAGTCCAGTACCTCAATTATCTACAGATCAGCTTTAACTGTATTTTAGTGTGCAGCCCTATCTGCCAGTGGCAGACAACCTACAGATACACATTCATATATATAATATATATATTATTTATAAAAAATAAGGGAATTAGGTCAAAGACTCTAGAGAGTACACATTCGGTACGGACAGATTAAAATGTACAATAGCTCCAAAAATCCATAGTTTTCTACACAGTGCTGCGTGTAGTAAGTGCAAAAATACTGCAGTTTAGTTAATCCATGATTTCCTGTTCTCCTGCTTCCTAGAAAAAGCAGAAGCCGCCGCATCTCCCGCATGACAGAGGGCATCTCCTCCTGGTCTGGAGGTGGGCGCCGAGCCTTGGAGCAGGGAGCTCCTCCGTTTCTCCAGGGTGGGGGGCGCCGGGGGCCGCGCGGTGCCGCTCGGCTTCCTCGCAGCGGCCGGCGCTCTGCTGAGGCGGCCGGGCCGGACGAAGACGCCGTGTCGGGGCTTGCACTGGAAGTACTCCCTGCCCTTCACGGTTCCGTCGTGCTTCCCTTCAGCGGGAGGAAACACAGAGCTGATTAATCACTGGAATTTACTTGCGCTTCGAGGCTACGACTGCACGTGCGAAGCATCTTTGGCTATTGCTTGTTGGGTAGCCGAGGCTTTAGCACTGAGCGATGGCATCAGAATGACAAAACACGCTAGGGAGAGCAAACCCGGAAGCATGGGGTTGAACTGTGATCATCCCTGTAATATTACCTTGGCAACTAAAGTTTAGAAGCTCAGTCTTTGTTCATTTTATAAAATAGATCTGTCAACCTCACAAATCAATTACTTAACAAGTTCAAAATCTAGCTAAAATTTCAACAATGCTGAAGCTTATTAAACGTCTACAAAAACCACCTCTCAAAAGGTCA